TTCTAGCCAAGTTTGTTGTAGGATATGCCCTTGACTATAATGAATACTTCGGGGATGTGAATCATGTTTGTGTCACTAGTGAAGCTGGAAAAGCAAAATACAAAGCCTAAGATGATAGTTCAAGTTGAGTTTGGAAACATCTGGAGTCCCACTGAAATCACCAGTAAAATTATCAAATGTTCTAGTTCTGTGGCCAGATGCTTAGTTGAGATTATTGCATGTAACTTCTTAGAATTTTATCTGTTGTATTTTAGAAATGCCAGTTGCTGCATTCCCAAACTCTTTATTTGCACTGTCAGCCTATAGACTATCATTTCCCTTTGGGTGGATTGTTGTTTTACTCGTGAATGAAAAACCTCTTAAACCACACCACTATGGAACGAAAATATTGACATTGTATATGTAAAAAACATTTAAAGAAAAGAATATATTAGTTTTTTAACTGGTATTTTACTTTTTATATATTCAGGGAAGAACAGAAGTGATTGAATATTGTTAATTATACCACTGTGTGTTCAGAAAAGTAAGAAACAGTCAGTTTCATATCAGTCACAGCACTTAGAAGTATCGTTATGTCGGATAAACCACATGTCCTGGAATTATTTTAGTAGCTTTTAGTAGTATTAACTGTAATTTCCCACTTGTTCAAATTATTTTTGGTGAATCTTTGTCAACAGATTGACCTGTACCTTTTAAATACAGATCAATAAGTTCCAAAAACCTACCACTTTTTGAATTCTTCAATATAAAAATCCTTAAAATAAAGGCTGTCTCTTTAAAAGAGAAAAAAAAAGTAAACAGTTTAACTTTATAGGGTTATTTATTAATCTTTTTTTTTACATCTTTATTGGAGTATAATTGCCTTCCAATGGTGTTAGTTTCTGCTTTATAACAAAGTGAATCAACTATACATATACATATATCCCCATATCTCCTCCCTCTTGTGTCTCCCTCCCAGTCTCCCTATCCCACCCCTCTAGGCGGTCACAAAGCACCAAGCTGATCTCCCTGTGCTATGTGGCTGCTTCTACAGGATTATTTATTAACCTTGCTGGAAATGATTCCCATGATTTTGAGAATGGAGACTCCATACTTCTCTTTAGATCCTTAGTAATAGGTTTAGAATATGGGAAACCCAAATTATACTAGTCTATTGATTCCACAAAAGTAGATTCCCTTCTTTGTTCTGCAGTATTTCACCAATGTGATTGCTTTTTATAAATATTGTGAGAATAAACTAACAGTAACATTTGGAAAGTTTTTCGAGCCCTTTGTGACATCAATAATGGCAGGATACTTTCCAAACCACAAGTTTTTCCTCTCAAAACCCTTCTCTATTTTTGTACCATCATTGCCTCTTCCTTTTTTTTTTTTTTTTTTTTTTTTTTTTTTTTT